TTACGGAAAGTTAATTAACAAACGGAGACGTAACACTACCTTTAAGCTATATGTGCCAGCTAGTTTAAGTTCTTCTATTCAACAGTTCAAAAAGGAGGAGGAAAAAAATAATTAGCAGTGGGTGTTGTCAATAATAATGTTCTAGTTTATAATGTAGAAAGATAAAATATTTAATTCCTGTTTTTTGTAGTCAAATTACAAGCTTCAGATAAATAAAGGATAGTGAACTTAATGATGGAAGTACTGAAGTATGAAAATTTATCTTTGCCTGATGAAGAGTAAAATGTAATTTTGGAAGGTGAGAAGTGGAAATGAAAAAAACAGCACTTTATAGCAAATTAATAAAAAACTAAGTTGCTGTTTTCTTTGTACAGTAATTTTTTCCTTGTCATTATTTTCAATACTTACAACAATAAGTTAGAGAATTAAAAATGCTGGACAGTTAAAAACACAATACGTTTGTATTTATATTTAAGTGCCATAGAAATATAAGTTAAAAATTACGGTCAAGACATTTTTCCGATAGTTTACCCCCGACCCGATCCTGTGAGCTCCGAAAGTTTGTGCAACAGCCAGCCTTGATGATGACAAAACCTTGTCGAAACGTTGTACATTTGCTGTTATGTTAAACTTATATTAAAGTTTTTCTTCATTACCCATTCATTAGCCAGCCTTTGCGATCGCTTGTTTGGAAAATTAGTCAGATGCGAGTGACGTCACTCAAGGTAAACAAGGCCAGTCGCGGTCGGTTTCCTCGCTGTGCGCCATTTTGTACGTGGAAAATTGTCGGTATGTTTATATGAAAACAATTCGTTTTTGTTTTTTTCACAAATTTAATTTGACGGACATTTTGAATACAGTTATTCGTGAGCACACAACTATGGTTTTTCGCTGTGTTGTTTATGGATGTGGGAATATTCCCAAGGAAAAGGAGATATCTCTGCACGAGTTTCCACCTAAGTCAGACAGAAAACGTCACATTGCCTGGACAAAGTTCGTATCAAGAACTCGTGATAAATGGAGTTCGACCGAAAGTTGCCATGTATGTAGTGGACACTTTTTGGAATCAGACTTCGAAAATAAACTACAATTTGATATGGGATTTGCAAAAAAGCTGGTGCTAAAGAAAGATGCAGTGCCTTGTGTGTATCCGAAGTTCGAGGATGATCCATCAAGCACAGTGATCAGCAGCCAGGCTCAAGACAGTGGCATATTACGAACTTGTTCACAGACCGATAGCAGAGATGATAATCGTGTCCAATCAGCTGTTCGAAAACGAGAAGTAAAGAGGGTAAGCTCAAGTTTTAGCGAATGTTTTAAGCGCGATATAGAATTGTTAGTAATCATTCAGGTTTAATAAACACACTAGTAGATCTGCTAAAACGAAAAATGTTTTTGAAATTTTACGTTCAGCTATTATTTACCAAAAAAAAAGGGCATGGACAAACAAGTGCCTATTTTATTCATTTTTCATGTTTTTAGCACTTTTTTTAAAAAGAAATTTCATTTGACATGTCAATATGCAACATAAAAAATGCTAGATCTACAATATCGAGTGTCGAAATGTGACCCCAGCTATGATTGCTTTTCCAGTCCTAATGTACACTTAGTTGTATGTATACAAATCGGAGCATGCGAAGAACACAGTATCGGAAGTCTATCAGCTCGTATTAGATCTACATTACTTGAAAAAACAAATATTGACTAGAATTTACTTAAATATTTACTATATTATCTTCCATGTGACCACACTGACGGCTATAAATTTCGTCCCATGTGAATAATGTTAATCTCTTTTTTTTTTTTGAAGAATAAAATGTTAATCAAGCAGTCACATGCTTCTTATAAAATTGTACAAAATTTGATGTACTTAGTTTTCTACTGGAGGGAAAGCAATAAATTACTGTGAGCAAAAAATGCATAAAAGTAAAACAATGCTTGTTACTCAGATACATAGTCTTCTTAATACTACTTTATTATTTTTTTACATCATAGTATAGCAAAAACAAACATCTGTGATAGTATAATTTTCTAAATTTAAGTTTTATTTATCACCTGTAGTAGTTTATTTGTTTTAACCCATTTTATTTCATATCATATATTCAGGAAAAAGCTTATAATGGTTAGAGAAGCACTGTTTATTGATATGAAAAACATTGTACATTAAGAAAAATCATGATGTTGGCAGAAGTGCTTCAAGTTTATTTCACATTATTATGTGAGGCCTAATTTCACATCTGTCAGGAGGATATTCCTAAAGTTGTTTGATCTGGAATTATTGATTAAAGAAACCCTCCACATCAAACAACTTTTACCAACACTGAACAACATGCAGTTTTTGTTTAAATTGCATATTTTCTAATATGTACAGTATTTTCTTTGTTACTCAGTTAATTTTTATGTTGTTGTAGTTTTGATTAAATTACTGTTATTATAGCAATGTATTTTAGTTAGTTACTTAGGAATGACCTAGTTCTTTTATTTTGCTTAAGATACTGAAGATGGAATCTGTTGGATGCTGAAATAATTATGTCCACTTGTTTTATAAATAAACAATGTTGTTTATCTTAAGTATTGTTATCCTTTTTATTGTGAAACTTCGTTTTCATCTGAACACACAAATTCCTAATGAGGACTTATTACAATTTATTTTACACTACTTGAGCTTGTAATTAATATAACCAGAAAAGTTTGTTTTTTAATACCAAGGTAATTAGTGTGGTATAATGAGCAAAAATTCTCAGGACAAGATTTCTGTGATTACAGGGATTTAGTACACATCCACATCCAGTCACACTTTATCTGACAACTATGCACCTTGACAGTAGTCTCTGCCAAATAGGTGTCATGTTCCAAGCACACCACTTCTCTCTGTAGCTTTCCAAAATTCATCTAGTTAATGTGGATGACAGTATCCAAGATTCTATGTCTGGCAACTTAACTGGTATGCTTCTTACAGAGTAATGTGAATATAGTTTTCATTTACCAAGTGCTTGAGGTATACGATGGTTGAATGGATATATTTTATAAGCAACTTGATTGAGCATAATTTTTTTCACTTTTGAAGATAGAGATCATTCTTAATTTTGTTGTGTAGTGTTGCCTGGTTCATATAAAAATGCTTTTGCTACTGACATTTGTGTTCATAGTTTCACAACTGCTACAAAATGTTGCACTTTGCTTATTTTGATTGAGATACAACTTCTTGCAGCCTCTTTCTAGATGGTCCTGGTGCTCCAAATTAATCCATATTCCATTTTCAGATACAAGAGATATCCCTATCTTGGAAATTCTAAATCCTCCATCTTTGTGATTTGACTGTGTGAATATTTTGCATTGGAAAGAGCTGTTATGTATCCTTCCCAAAGGCAAAAAGTTTTCAGTGGCAGCATAATATGTAAATAGTGTTAAAATGTAGTTCTAATATGGGCCATTCTCCCACAACTTTATTGGTTATATGTGGTAGTCATGTGACTTGCCAATTTGTAGGTTCCAAGTCGTTTAAGTATAACATACTCAACCATCTTTATAAGGTTTGAAGTGATGATATTTTAAAGATAATGAACTGAGGAGGTTTTATAAATGATAGTATTAACTATTTATCATTGATACCATAAACTTATTATTTATATTTTAGAAACCACATGTAAGAATAAATATGGAGCAATCTGGTGATTCACGACAAGATAGCATTATGTCTAGGTTCAGTGACAGTGATGATGAAGTTCAAGATTGTTCAAAACATGATGTTGTGAATTTAAAAAATGAAAAAGAACCAAAAGAGGAGTTTCAACAAATTAATTCTGGGTTAGAAGCTTTATCAGGTGAGTATAAACATGTTAATAAGTACCATATTTTTCTGTGTATAAGACGCACTTTTTTACCCCAAAATTTGATGTCAGAATCTGCTTGCGTCCTATACACCGAAGGTATGAATAATATATATGTATATATGCGATATACACAAGCCATGTGTAAATATATTTAAATAGGCATGCATAGTTTAGTTCAATTGAATGTGTTATTTATAACAATAGTAGTTTTTTCCTTTAAAAACATAACTATTTATAATGCTCCCTAAATAATAAAAAATAAATTACAGTGAAAGCAATGAAGATTTTGTAGGTTTTAAACCAAACTAAATAACAGTAAACCTTTTTTGATTTACGGTATTTTCTTATTTTCATGTTTTGAGCTCTTTTGTGTTTAGAACAATATATACTAATTTTTAAAATATCAAATTGAATTTTTGTTCAATAAAAATCTTTCAAATGCGACTGTAGCTTTTTATCCTAAAACTTTGACTTCAAAATAAGGGTGCATCTTGTACACCAGTGCGTCTTATATTCTGAAAAACTGTAGCTTTTTATCCCTAAAACTTTGTCTTCAAAATAAGGGTGCATCTTGTACACCGGTGCGTCTTATATTCCGAAAAATACGGTAAGCAATAGAATAAAAACTACATAACCTCCAACAGTTGTCAACATTGTATGCAAACAAAAGAATAGGTGATGTGGGAAAAACATAACATTTAACTAAACACTATGTATCAGGCTATTATCATGTGGGGTATGTTTGCTTCCATTCTACAGAGATAATGCAAATATTGTTTGAGTCTTTTTAATAAGAGAATAAACACAATGTATTCACACATCACACTTGAAGGAATAGATTCCTTACACAGTGTAAACATTCTTGACATGCATACATGTTATCTATTCATCTTTAAATTCCTTAACTGACAGGGAAAGGGGTTTCTAATACAAACTGTAAAATACTAATATTACACATTTCTATATCTTTTACATTACCAACTCAAACTAAGTTCTGTTCTTCCTCATGTTGCGGTGGATCTGTTCAAATATCCAAAAACTACATTATCTGTAGTTTCTGAGTTAGACAAGTGTTTTATACGGAGAAGTACTTGACCCTAAATATTGGGTGAATGGTTCACACAGGAATTAATAAGATCTGGATAAGGGTGAATGAAAATTACCAATTACAACAAATTCATGAGCAAAAAAGTCATTAGTTATTATTTATTCTAGCTGTAGTTTGATAAATATATTAATTTTTTGTTGGATTCATTCTAGTTGTAGTTTGATGTATATTTAAGTCATAATAAAGAATTTTCATTTTAATTTAGTATTTTCTGTTCTTCTTCAAACTGGGGTGAGTGAGTTGTTGTGAAAAACTTACAGGAGGGTGAATGATATTGGAAAAGGTTGAGAAGCACTGACTTCTAAGTTAGACAAGTGATCTATACAACGAGGTACTTATATGTTTAGTTAGTTTCTCCGTTAAACAAGTGTTTTATATGGCAAGGTACTTGAATGCTTAGATAGTTTCTGAGTCAGACAAGTGTTTTATACAGTGAGGTACTTCAATATTAAGTTAGTTTACGAGATCGACAAGTGTTTCATACAGATAGCTACTTGATTGTATAGTTAGTTTCTGAGTTAGACAAGTGTTTTATAGAGCAAGGTACTTGACTGTTTAGTTATTTTCCGAGTTAGACAAGTGTTTTATAGAACAAGGTACATGAATGTTTAGTTATTTTCCGAGTAAGACAAGTGTTTTATAGAGCAAGGTACTTGATTGTTGTTATTTTCAGAGTTAGACAAGTGTTTTATTGAGCAAGGTACTTGAATGTTTAGTTATTTTCCGAGTTAGACAAGTGTTTTATAGAACAAGGTACATGAATGTTTAGTTATTTTCCGAGTAAGACAAGTGTTTTATAGAGCAAGGTACTTGAATGTTTAGTTATTTTCCGAGTTAGACAAGTGTTTTATAGAACAAGGTACATGAATGTTTAGTTATTTTCCGAGTAAGACAAGTGTTTTATAGAGCAAGGTACTTGAATGTTTAGTTATTTTCCGAGTTAGACAAGTGTTTTATAGAACAAGGTACATGAATGTTTAGTTATTTTCCGAGTAAGACAAGTGTTTTATAGAGCAAGGTACTT